TTATAAATTAAACAAAGCGTGTCGTTCTCTGCTTGTTGCAGAGTGCGAGATGATCATCACTTCAAGTAAGACCTTCCGTGATGTTACAAATGAAGTGTTCAAGCCAGTCGAAGGCAAGAAATCTTGCCATAGTCAAGATATGTGTGCAAGTGTTCGACGTGGGCTCTCTCAAGCTGGTGCAGCTGTCATCAAGTGGAACTGAAGTACGTGGGTCCAAAGAAAGGTACATATCAACAATGTTTGCGCGTTGAAACTATGACGCGTACTTTATCAAAATCAAAACTTATCGGTCTGCGGCTACAGACATTTTTATTGGCATTGCTTAGATGATGTGACCATTCAGGTCTCGCATTAAACCGTGTTACGAACTCTTGGGTTGCTGTTCTGGTTAATTGCGCTAAAAAGCGGTTGGATGGTAAGTATGACAGGTACAGCATACAAGGGACGATCGAGGTCTTTATCTTGCGTTCTATGTATCCAAACATCGGTATCCTTGGAGTCATGTTGCGATCAGCTAGTCGCCGACTGTCCTGTTTTTGCGCAGAATGTAAACAAGCCCCGGAAGCACCAATCTCATATCAATTACAAAGCAGGGCAAAGCTTCTAAGACGAGAAAACTTTAGGCTGACATTTGAGTCTGCTCAAGAATGAATGGCAAAAGGTGCTTATGCTAAGTGGTAGATGTACACAGTTGATTTTCTTTTTGCCTCTGCATTTTAATTGGAAGATATGTATCAGCAGAAGACCCATGTCCTTTTGAAAATGTCTTTTATTAGGGAAAAAATAGGTTTTCATACACAGACACATACACTGAGTCTTAGAAACATGGCAGATAGTATTGGTTTAATAAATTTAGGTATCTGTTATTCAAATGTACGCTGTTGTTCACAGAGTGGATACACATCTAGTTATGTGAAGGTCAAATATAACTTCTAGACAAGTTTGACAGAGTCGCGGGGTCAGGGAAGTCCACCACTGCATTTGTACTGGGGTTATCCCTTTACTGCCCGACCTTTTTATTTTGACAAAAAATTTCTTTGTATAGGATGTAGATTTATAAACAACCCTTCCTCTGAATTCGCAGACGCGCTGGTTTCGACAAATCTGCTACACTCGCCCATTTGTAGGAGAAAATCGTGGTTCTCCTTTATGTTGGTCATCCTCGATTTTATGTAGACCGGCATGAAGCTCCATTCTTCCTCCGAGAAGGTCTCGGGTGAGACCGAAGTGGGGTAAGTCTTCCGAAGACATTTTGTCAGCGAGGCAGCCGAGTCGCGGTCGCAGAGCGGGATACCGAAGTGACGCTCACCTGCTGCAACTGTCATTGCGTCATCCAAAACAGGCACCAGTGTCCATGCACACAGAATGCCGAATAAAAACCTCGATCGCCCCTTGTATGCTGTAGCTGTCATACTTTCCATCCCACTGCTTTTCAGCACAATTAACCAGAACAACCGAAGAGTTCGCAACACGGTTTAATGCGTTGCCTGAATGGTTACATCATCCAAGCAATGCCAACAAAAATGTTTGTAGCAGCAGACTGATAAATTTAGGTTTAGGTAAAGTATGCATCATAGTTTCAGCCTCAACGCGCAAAAATTGTTGATATGTAGCTTTCTTGAACGACAACTGCACCAGCGTGAGAGAGCCCACGCCGAACACTTGCACACATATTTTGACTCTGGCAAGATTTCTTGCCTTCGATTGGCTTGAACACTTCATTTGTAGCATCACGGTAGCTCTTGCTTAAGTGATGATCATCTCGCTACGACTAACTATGACCACCCACCACAGCGATGCAGGCGTCGAAGGAGCGCAATCTGTGTACTATGCAGTCAGTCGCCTTCGCCCGACGCTGCTTGTTTGGTATTCAGGGCATTCCGCCCAGGTTCTTCGTTTGTACTTGGCACCGAGTGTTCTTTCCTGTGCTTGTGTGTGTGCTCAGTGGCTGCATATGGGCCTCATAGAGCAGTTTTTCAAGTTCAACAGCGTTCGCCGAAGAACGTCTGAAAAAAATGCGACCCAGGAAAAAAAGCACGAAGACACAAAGCACCAGCTTGACGGACTATGCACTGGGTGCGGAAATCAGGCCCTGCAGATTATACAACAAATGCAAACTATCTAAACAAAACAAAAATTTAGGCTCATTTTTTTTTTTTTTTTTTTGCGGACTATACGCCTGGACACTGGTGCCTGTTATTATGCATTGTATATTCACTGCTGCTTGTTGTGGCGTTAGACTGCCTTTCTGTTATGATGCAGAGGGGTCAACTGAACCTTGAAATAAAGATTTTTAAGCAGATCTAGATGCGATGTCCCTTGAAGCGACATGGTAAGGGAAAAGGAGTATCATCACCTAATTTTCCAAGAGCATACCAATGGGCACGATCAAAATCCACCAAGTCAGTGGTCAGTTTTCCACCACAATATTTTTTGCCGTGTTATCACCAATTTGGCCCATTATAAACCTTGAGGCTGTAGCCTATAGCACACCCATTCTGGATCTGCGAAGGTTATGCTGTAGACGTGCATCATCACGTGAGCATGTTTCTTATCAATCTTAAACGTAAAATGCTAGTTATGCAACGAAATTCCCATATCGGCACATTTTTAGCAAACTGAATGGTCCCACCTGTTACACTTTTAGCTTCGGAAGCAAACCAGTTCACAATACCACCAGAAGCATATATCGTGTCAAGCATTAGTGCCGCATATGGCAGCAAAATGTTTTAACTGCGGAAGCAAACCTAATCGATCTTGTTGATTAAAGCACCTAAATACGTGAGAAATTATCAATAAAAAAAGAGGTCACTCGAAAGGGAAGTTTTCCCGCTAAACGAACACGACTTTATATTGGACGCTACGCAATGTAAGGCCGAAGACATTCACTCCGTGATAGGTACAGAAGCATTTGCTTAGCAGTCGGTCGTGCATGATAAAAACAACAAAAACAAAGGTGGATTAGAAACGCGATAGATTCCCCTTTGAACGGAGTACTTAAACTTAAAATCGTTTCAACATAAATCGACTACGGCCCACCTTGCTAGCAGCAATCTTAAAATTTTAAAATTTATCCGTGTAGTTGTCACCCACCAACCGAAAGCGTTGCTGCAAGTCCTCCGCCGTCAACTTTGAGTCGCTGTTGAGCCTGAAGAACTGCCCAATGAGGGCCGTATCCAACCACTGTGCACACACACAAGCACAGAAAATAACACTCGGTTCCAAGTACAAACCAAGAACCCGGGGCGGAAAGCCCTAAATGCCAAACGAGCAGCGTCGGGTGACGGCGACTGACTGCGTAGACACAGGTTGCGCCGTTGTGCTCCTTCGATGCCCGATCGCTGCGGTGGGTGGTTGTAGGTAGTCGTAGCAGATCGTGTCACCTCTGTTGCTCGTACCGGAACACCAGAGCCGCGTAATATTATTGCTGCCGAAGTGGCCGAAGTTTATAAGCCTACGGTTTCACCCAACAACAACAACAACAACACAGGGCGGTGACACCATCGCTGAAACTCCTCAATCCTTGTGTCCCTGTTGTATTGGCGCTTAACTGTTTAACTTTAGCTGTGGCTAGCGTTACGTCCGGACGGACCACTGAAACGCGTATACCGTATACCTAACCCTCCCCCCCCCCCCCCCCGCCCTCCTCTCTTTCCACCGTGAACCCAGGAAAGGCGGAGATTTTGACGTAACTTGGGTTACGTCGAACGTAACGCTAGACACTTCGTTAACCTTTAAGCATGACAGACGGGGCCGACGGAGGAGCGACGCGCGGCGATGCCCAAGATCGTCGAGATGCGGAGTCTGCAAACCACCAAAGCGTGACATCCGCGTGATAACGCAGAGCACCGCTTGAGCAACAGTTCTGACGACGGAGAACGACATCAAAGGTGTAGTCTCTCGAAGAGTCACCTTGCAAAGTGTTTGCGATCGCGGCGGTCGCGCTTGATTGTGTGGACAAATCGTGCTGGTGTTTCCGAACCGCGATGGGATTGTGTGGTGTACGAAATTGCAGTAATCGGTCCTAGCGGTTGAAGAAGTCGCCCACTGGTGTTTCGTTTCACCGGTGAGCGCGTTCACCCTTTGCTGATGAAACGTTTCATCGGCAAAGACATCATGGTCCAAGATGGCGACTGGTTTGCGTCGGTCCCATCCCTTGTCTGCGGTTTTTTTGTTATGCTTCGCTGTTGTTGTTGCTTTTGTATCGTGCTTCCTCGGGCGTTGCTCCCCGGAACAGCGTGGGTCTCCGTGGATATGCGGCGCACGTAACAACAAGTCCTTCCGCTGGCTACGCGCACATCCCCCCCAAGCACTATCGGCACAACTCCGGTCCGGCCACTAAGCCTAACGGGCTTACGTTTCCTCTGTGGCAACACTCCTTCGCTGGCCTGCTAATCTGCGTAGGCACCGAATGGTTCGTCCAATATGCAGTGTTGCTCTCCGGGGACATCGCTCTAAACCCAGGACCGCTTCACTACACCTGCGGTCGCTGCTCAAAGGGTGTGAGAGACAACCAGGCTGCTCTTTGTTGTGACAGATGTGAGGTCTGGTTTCATCGTACGTGTGTTTATGTCCCCCTGAATCAGTACCGGAGGCTGGGCGCCTGCGAAGACACTTGGCTGTGTTTTGGCTGCTCGTTCCCAGGTTTCACGGACGACTTTTTCGACGTCCCAGTCGTAGGCGCCGCCTCAACACCACTCAATCAGCCACCTACCGACCCGGTGTTTACGTCCACGGCCGTTTCGCAACCCGCGATTCCTGCACCGGTGACGCCGTCGACTAACCCTGGCAGCAAGAGAGTGTTGTCCGTTTGGTTCTCAAATCTGCGGTCAGTTAAGAATAAGCTTCCTGAGTTCCAAGTCCTCGTCGCGTCTGAACCATCGACCATCTTTGCGGCATGCGAGACGTGGCTAGACTCTTCGATGTATGATGGGCAGTTGGTGGATACAACACGACACACCGTTTACAGGAGCGACAGGTCTGGACATGGTGGGGGAGTTATGATCGTCGTACCGCGATTACTGCACTCCCGGAGGAGACCCGACTTAGAGGCCGACGACCTCGAGGCAATATTTGTCGAAGTATCGCACCAAACTGGCAAGACACTAATCTGTTGCGTCTACTGTCCACCTGTCACCCGAGCCTCTTCATACAACCTGCTCCACCACTCACTCCAACAAGTCAAACCCCAAACTTACACCAATGTGTGTGTTGTAGGCGACTTTAACGCCCATATCGACTGGAATGACCTCGCAGCCCCCATACCATCCGGACCACCTGACGACCAACTCCTCGATGTGATGGAGACATCTGGCTACATACAGCTGTGTGGGGAGGCGTCCTACGTCTCCCACAACCAAAATGCGTCCTTCCTTGACCTGGTGTTTGCCAGCAACCCATCCGTAATACAGAGCTGTACAGTGCGGCCAAGCCTTGGTGGTTGTGACCACAGTGCTATTCATCTGAATAGCTTAACATCCTTGCCAAAGGTTGGACACTTCGCGAGAAAAATACAACTATTTGAAAAAATTGACACTGCTCATCTCGACATGCTGCTTCACTTGGCATCATGGTTGATAATGCTGGACAAACCGTCTGCCGACGAGATGTACGAGACCTGGCTGGACTTCATGCACGCCATTGAAAAAGAATGTGTGCCCACAAAGACTAAATCGAAGCCCCGCTCAGGCCCGTGGATCACTGCTCACATCTTGAAACTAGCCCACCGTAAACAGAAGTTATTCAGAAAAGTTAAGAAAACCGGAAATCCGCACATCCTTAATCTAGCCCGCCAAGTACAGAGGGAACTAAAGAAGAAAACCCGTGTATCCTACACGGCCTATGTGCAGCATATCGCAGAGAAGACCGCAAGAAATCCAAAGCTCTTCTGGTCTTTCGTGAAGCACCACAAAACGACTTCCTCTTCTCCAGTGTTCCAGAACGACGGAATAACAGTAAGAACAGCTGAAGAGACGGCTGCCATTTTCAGCACCTACTTTGCGTCTGCGTGGACGCCGCGAGAAAATCCTCCGGCTCATTCCTTTCTGGAGGACCAGCCCTCACTTTCCGAGCCTCTTGCACCTTTGGACATAACCTGTGATGACACCTGGGAGGCATTGCAAAGTGTGAACCCGTCCCAACGAGCAGGGCCTGATGGCATACACACAGCGTTCTTCAAGGCTTGTGCAAGCAAACTCTGTCCGATCCTTACCATCATGTTCTCATCACTTCTTGAACAGGGCTCAGTTCCATCCAAGTGGAAAACAGCTTTGGTTAAACCGATCCACAAGGGAAACGGCACTTCCGTCACGTCCGTGCGCTCCTACCGCCCTATCTCTGTTACATCAGTTGTGTGCAGAACAATGGAGCAAATTATTAACACCAAGATACTTAATCAACTGGAGGAGCGGAGCTTACTCACGACTCACTAGTACGGTTTCCGCTCACGCCGTAGCTGCGAGCTTGCTCTGGCCACACTGGTGCACCAAGTAAGTGAATGCTTGGACGACTGCACAGCATGCGATTATGGTCCAGCTGGATTTTAAGCAGGCATTTGACAAATTCGACCACAGCCTTCTTTGGTGGAAACTGTCGAGCTTTGGCGTGGCAGGTGCAACACACAAATAGATTGCAAATTTCTTAACAGGCAGGGGCCAGAGGGTGGTATTTCGAGGAGCCAAGTCTGAGTCCTTAGAAGTAGTCTCGGGCATCCCTCAAGGCAGCGTATTAGGCCCAACACTCTTCAACACTTTCATTGATGATGTGACCCGTTCCCTCAGCTCAACACCGTTTTTATACGCCGACGACTTAACTCCCCTTCTGCCTATCAGGGGCAGAAACCCTTACAAACGACTACACCCTACCGAAAAATCCGGTATAACTTTCCCTATCCGGAATATGGAACCGGAAATTTGTTACTGGAAACCCGAAATCCAGATTGCAGACAAAGGAATAATTTCTGAAAACCGAAATTCCAGATAGAGTCCAGATAGAATCCAGATAGATTTCCGGTTCCACAATCCGGATAGCGAAAAGTTATACCGGATTTTTCGGTAGGGCATGAGGACCTTTACAAGATTGAAGAATGGTCTGTGATAAACAGGCTACCCCTCAATGCGGAAAAGTGCTCTACAATGCTATTCACCACCACCCGACAGCCTCCGCCTCCTCCTGACTTGACGATCAGGAACAGCCTTATCACAAGGACGCAGCGAACAAAATTGTTGGGAGTCACACTTGGTCCGCACCTCCATTTTTCCCCCCACATTGCCGAGGTGCTCTCGCGAGCGCGACGCACGCTGGGCTTCATACAACGAGTGTCAAGAGGGGCCGGCCCAAAAGCACTGCGGAGTTTATACACTGCACTAGTGCTCCCGCAGCTTGAGTTCTGCTCGTCAGTGTGGAGCCCCAGACAGGTCGCCGCAATTGCCTCACTGGAGAGTGTATACAACGGCGCGCGGCCTACGCTATCCTGCGTCGTCAATCACCACCGCAGCTGAGGCGATACAGAGACATTGGCACCCCCGAACTTCTCGGAAGTGTGGGGTGGAACTGCCTCTCTGTCCGTAGGCAGGTGGCTTCGCTTCGCCTCCTAGCCTGCACGCTGGGTGGCCCTCCTACACCCCGTCTAGAGTATGTGAGGAAGAACCGCGCCGACAAGCTACAACTTTTCCTTGGACGGACGGAGCGTCACAGAAGCACACTCCTTCCGAGAACCATCGAGCTGTGGCGCTCCCTCCCGAGTGATGTCACACAAGGGACATTCGAAAGCAAAGAGGACTTAAAAGATCTGTGCAAATGTGCAACCCTCCACCTCAAAGAACTGTGATGTCACACCAGTGACACTCAATCAGACCCAAATCCCAGTGTACAAACATTTCTTTCTTTTTTTGTATGTATGTGTGTATGTGTGTGTAGCGGGTACAGTGAGCCTCTATGGCATGGGCAATAGCCTTTTCACTGTCACCCGGGTTTTAGAAACCGAATAAAGCAAAGCATTAAATGACCACATGCTTGAGAATGAACCTATGGAGAACCACGCCTATCACCTCATGCGGTCTGTTGCAGAGAACACCTGGACATCAGACAGCAAAGCACGGCGTCCACAGATGAACTACACCAACAGAAAGTAAGGCGAAGTCACACCGAACTCGCACAGCTCAAAGGCCAGGCTGAAAGTGAAACTAATTTATAAGCCAATGTTGTGTTGCAAATATATTGCTATGCTGTGAATAAGTGTTGTATATATTGTTTTAATTTTTCAAGTGATTCCAATGTAAATAAAATGCGTGAATTAAGACACTTCGAGACAAGTGGAACTAGGCTTTACTCGTGGTGCCAAAATGAAGCTGCCTCAGCAAGGTAAGTTGATATCCCACGAGCACAGCAGGAGGGGTATAGAGTTCACCGTGATTCGCTTTCATTCCTGAGTTGGATCTTCCGAATTTTCGGGGGGACGCCTCGCATCGCTAGATCATTTCTCGTTGCCGAAGACATCGCGATGACAACGTCTGCTCGTGTGCGTTTTCGCAAAAAAAAAGAAAAACATAATAAGTTCTATTCCTTTTTTTGGAGCAGCTTGGAAGAGAATGCTAAAGCGCACGGAAGGACCGCTGCCGAAGACCGGCTTGCTCGAATGCAGCGTCTCAGCTGAGACGGTCTTAAAAAAGCACTGTCAATGTTGGAGCGCGCGAGCGCGTAAGACGTGATTTAAGATTGAGCGCTACCTTTGACAGCGCTTTCTCGTGAGTATCCGCTGAGATGCTGCTTCGAGCGAACCGCTCGACTTACATTACGAAGCCTTCTAGAGATTCACCAACGACGTAGGTGCACTGCGAAGAAGTGCTTTAGTTCTCAAATTCCACAGTTCATGCTCTATTCGTAGCGTTTGAGAATTACAAAACAAAAGAACAAGTAGACGCTACAAATCCGACACCCACCGCCTCAGCGCTCACTGCCTACGCCGTAAATACAAAGCAAAACAACGGCAAGCAGACGGAACAAATCCGACACCCACTGCTTCCGCGCTCACTGCCTATTCCGTAAATAGAAGGCAAAAGAAAGACAAGCAGACGTTACAAATCCGACACCCACCGCCTCCGCAATCACCATGCAATCACTGCCTACTCTGCAAATTGGGCATACTACCAGCTCACCATATACTATACTTCGTTTCACCTTATGTCCGAGCGCGGACGATGAGCCGAAGGGCCAATCAAACAGCACAAAAAGCGCAACGTCACGGCGTGCTCTCTGCGTTTGATAGGACTAGCCGGCGGAGGAGCACGCACAGAGAGACGGCGAATACCGGCTATTCATATATCGAGGTGCAAGAGAAAGTAAGCACACCACGACGTTGTGCCTCTTTCGCTGTTTGATTGGCCCTTCGGCTCATAACATCGGCCGCGCTCGGACCTAGGCTGAAACGACGAACCTACCAGAAAAAGTCACGTGGCGGGGCCGACTCGTCCCGATATGCATATCGTTTCCGGAAAAATTGTGAGGAGGGTAGGTGGAGAGGCGGCTTCAGAAGAAGTTGCCTTGCGGAGGCTAGGCTTGTGACCTAAAGGGGGGCTATAGGATTTGCGGGCATCTTCTAGCTCCGATTCCCACAAACCCTGTCTCCGGATGAATATGACACTGCAATACTTCGCTCTCGGCAAAAGGGTTTATTCACTCACTCATTGCCTTGGGGGGTTTCGGGATCGGGGGACGGTCATCAGCGTGGCCGGGGGAGAGCCCGCTGCCACAGCAGCTTCTCCGAGTCCCAGCGGTGGTCGTCCACACCGCGTCATGGGAACATCGTCGTCCAGGGTCGCTGTCCGGTCCGCTTGTCGAGTCCGCCACTCGACGTAGTGCCCGCATTCCCCGCGCCAGCGTCCAGCGCCGTCCGAGCTCGCCTCCATGACCGGTCCCTTGTCTCGTCGGCCGCCCAAGCCCTCTTCCTTTGTCTCCGTGCCCCTCTTAAGACCTTCCCAAGTCCCTGTCCCGCCGACCGTCCAATCGGGAACCTTCCTGCGAGCCGATCCTCCGACGTCAGCGCTGGGTGAGGGGGCGCTTGCCCCGTTTCTCCCGGAGAGCTCGGACGTTCCGCGACAGGACGGCGACTGGAAACGGGAAGGTCACAGGGAACGAAGGAGCGCCCGACAATACGGCGGCAGGGACCGGCAAGGTCACGGAGAGCGGAGGAGCCAGGGAGAGGGTCCCCACAGATTCTAAACTGAGACTGGTTACCGGAAGTGTCAAGCGACGTCAGACGAGTCAAATATTTCTACTAGAGAATATGACTTTTTGCAAAGCACATGAATTTGGTCATTGCAGCTTTGAACTGCCATTACATATTGCACAAAATATCGGAGCTATAAAAATGTGCGTCGGCAAGTATTGCTAGACCAGAGGTGGATTCAGAGGGGAGTCCGTACGTTCTTAACCCCCCCTCCCCTTAAAATTTGGGGGCGGGGGAAAGGGAGGGGGGTTTAAACATCTGATACGCTTACCCCCCTAGCAGCACCAGATTTGTTTAAACATAAAAATGCGACGCGAGCGATCGACCGGTCGTGCTTGCCTGCGTTGCCTCGGCAAGAGAGGTCTCGTGTACAAACTTTCGCACCTTCGCCAAGAAATGTTCACGCGTCGCAAGCGTCAAGTTGTCCGTGATCGTTGCCCACCTTACTAGGTTTTCCAAACCGAGTGCACTGTCGTCCTGCGTTGAAAATCGCAGTCGCGAGGATACCGCTCACGTTGCAGTCACGACGACGCCAAATTGGCCGTATAACTGGTATAACCGTGTTCCTGGAGCCGCCATTTTTTAAATCTGCTCGTCTTGGCTTTAGCCACTTTAGCCAACTTCTCATTACGAATCCACCTTAAAGGAGCGCAGAGCAGGGGGAGGGAGGGGGGAGAGAGGAAGGGAACGCGGCGCAACCACTGATCTCTATTGTAGTCCGTGATCTACGTGAGCGATCACGCGCCTGTGCGCTTGAATGAATCTGATAACGAGGTGCAAGAGAAAGTAAGGAAGCGACCACGTTTAGAAAGTTTTCGAGATACGACTTGATGCCTACCTCATGCTTCTCATGTGGAAAGAAAAGGTCGAAAGGTTGTGAGGTCTCATTTTTGCATGTAAATAACCGTTTCCTTCTTTTTTTTTTTTTTTTTTTCTTATTTTCACTTGCCGCCGTCCAGCGACCGAGCGCTAATGGCATGCGGCGTCTTCGGAGCAGAAGCTAACGAAAACGAAACACACAGTAATTACATTACGGTTATTACTTAATGAAATCGTACGTGACTATTTTGACGAATACCCACGGCCCAATCTTGGCACCGGAATACTGTAAACGAGGTTTTGTTCGCGGGATTGATATTTAGCGAATTTGCCAGAACGCTGCTTTCAAATATGTCGGGGAAGCGGACTTTCGGGGTCGGATGCAGA